TCTCCATCATCAGAGTTAACTCCTCATCATGTTTATTCTCATCACCATAAGCATCATGTCATTTTACAAGATGTGAACAGCAGGAGAACACTATTTTATTTCCATCATCAATAAAAAACAATTCTTGCTTATCACACTTGTTTTACTTTAATATGATTAAATATAAAATGTTATAGATGTACACAAATGTTTTCTACAAAATTTCTGCATTTTTTCATTATTTAGTATTTTTTCTTTTTTTATAATTTAATTATGACATCAAGGGTTATCACATTTCAACCAAAAGGTTGAACTTTTGGCCCGTCATCAAACAAGAATACAATTTCAGTTGAGTCAGTTTTAAGTGTTGTATTTCATTTTCATCATCAATAAAAACATTTCTTAGTTATCACATTTAATTTATTTAATACAATTAATATAAAATATTAGAAATGTGCCCCCAAATATTCTATAATTTTTTACTTTTCATAGTTTTCTGTATTTATTTCTATTTAAAAAAAAAATTATTAATTAACAGAGGGCTTCTTCTTCATCGAGGATTTTCTTCTCCATTGCTCTCTGCAACCAATAATGGAACCCTTGGACTGTAAAAACACATGATTTCTTCTCCACTGATCTGGGGTCACATTCTCCTCTCACTCGTTCCATGGTTGGAAACTTTCTGATGCCCAGGTCTCTTCCACTGTAATAACACAGATCTCTCTAATCTCTCTGATGCCCAAATCCCTCCTATACAGAGGGCCGACCCAAGGTAGCTCTCCTGCTGCCAGAACTATACAATTGCTTAAACCCGTCAAGCCCATGATTGTTTCTCAAGTCTAATGTGAAAGAAGGGGTGTCATACCCTGGAATTGGGATCTGGCCAGCTTTTCTATGGCCAACGACGACCAGAAATTCATTGTATTGCCTCATGACGTCCACCACGGTCTTGCCCAGAATCATTGCCGCTACCTTCATCCATCGATCAGGAGTGTCCTTATCATATACCGCAAGAGCATCCTCAAACCTCTTGTTCTCTTCATGGGTATCCCTTGCTCTTGCTCTCATGAAGAAACCAATTCAAGTTAGTAAGATGATAGGAAGCCGGAGAGAAAATTTTCATTCCCGATCTCACCATTTCCGAATTACAGTTACAACACAGAATTACAGCTCATACCAATCCGATGAAAAAATAATAATAATCTCAGAATTCGCGGTGGCCAGTGGGCCAGTCAGCCTCCCTCTCTCTCCTTCCATGGAAAGAATAAAGTCCCAAGTTTGCTACAGTTTGATAATTCAATTACAGAGAATAGGTTCGAGATTTTGATTTCGATGGAACAGAGAAGTAGAGAGCAAAGGTGGGAGAACCCRGAGAGGAAATGCAGAGGTGGAGGTTTTAAGACAAGAAAACAGGCTTTAAATYATGAAGCATTTGCAGGGGATCAGAATACCTTTTTTATGAAAGTATAACCCGAAGAATATAAATGATTATTTAAATGCTTATTGGAGAAAAATGCCACCAAACATGTCAAAAAGAAAAGTTCCACTTAAGGTCTATGCCATGGTTGATATGTAACATTATTTTGTAAATGATAATGGATGTCAAGTTAATAGTTTTCAAAATTCAAAATTTTCAAACTTCAAATATATAAAAATATTAGACTTTGGACTCCACTTCAAGCACAACATTTTTAATTCTTCTGTACCAACTTTGACACATGTACACACGAGGGAGAGAATGGGTCCTCATAGAGGCAGCTAAGAAAAGTTAACCTAGTTTCTAGTATGCTAAAGAAAAACATACGTTCTATGACCTAGGTAATAGAAATCTGTTCAGAATACAAGCCCACAAGAGAAAGCACTTTAAGTTGAAGATAAAGGAAAGCTTTGATAATCACCAGCCAAGCACTTGTATCTTAGAAATGTATAAATAATGAATAAATGAATAATATAATAGTACTAGAACACTCAAATGGCATGTGAAGTCGTCACCTTTTTTCTTATACAAAAATCAACACAGCTAAGGATAAATTTCTCCAAAACATGCATGAGTTGATTTGGTAGTAAGTGGGAAAAATTTGTTGCTCCTCCACAGGTGATACGTCTTAGTATACTTGGGCGACAATTCTGGTCCAAAGACCCTGAACTACGGTGTGAAAGAACACTATATGTCTTTTCTGTATCATTCTGAAAATAGAAAATGTCAGACATCATCACTGGCATGTTAGATTGACAGAAAAATGAGCTTATACATGCACATGAAAGACAAGAAGGGCTAGCTTATACATGCAGATGTATGGCTACA